AGCTCACATGACGTGTCTCACTTGTCATTTGACCTTGTAAAGTATTCGTCGCTTTATTCATGTGTGCCTATTTCGCTTGTCGCATGTCTGTCTTATATTTATCTGACTATATATTCTTAGTCAACTCCGCCAGTAGAACCTAAGGGCTACTGCCGGTCCCAAGCCCGGATAAAGGAGGAGGGTTGGACATGGGGTTGGCGACCCCATTCCGTTGAAATCTCACTTGCCAAAAAACGCTAACCAGAAAAATAATTCAAAACCATTTTAACTCTGCCCTGGGAGTTGGAAGAAGAATTATGACGTCTCGTGATGAAAGCGAGTTCCCCCGGAAGTCACGAGGCCGATGCCTCTTCTAACAACCACAGCAAACATTTTTTAGGTACATGGAACATCGTACATTGTGGGAGACTGGAAGACTATTTCAAGTTGCGGCAGAAATGAAAAGATACAAACCTCGAGGTGCTCGGCATCAGTGAAACGCATTGGACACAGGTAGGACAACTGAGACTAGCTTCAGGGGAAACTGCTGTTATACTCTGGTCATGAAGAGGAAAACGCTTCACATACACAAGGAGTTGCACTGATGCTGTCCAAACATGCACAAAAGGCACTGAGTAACAGTCACTATTCAATCAGTGAGCTACCCCCAACTATATAAAGGAACTGACACTCTCCATGTTACTCAAATATGTACCCGCCGAAAGTTACGAATCACAATGTCACTATTAATGATATCGTTCTAACGATTTTTTTGGTGTTTATCTAACGAGTTTATTTTCTCCGGGATAGTCGTACTCTAATCTCTTGCCAAATCCTCCTGGTTTAAACTGTGTTTGGGGAACACCATTGATCCGGAAAGGCTCAACCAGACTACTAGCGCTAAGTCATTATCATTATCGATAGACAAGGAGGATCTCAATGCAGATGTGAAGAGGTAAGTTCTACTATAAAACAGGCATTTAAACTCAAAAATTCATCGGGTAAACAAACAATAAAATCACGATTTTCACTACTCATTCACGTCAAGACAGTTCGTTTTCTAGAGAGGAAAATATGGGCGAATTATGAAAAGCCATCATTCGAAAAGATACAGGTGTTGATAGACGGTTATTTACAACAAGTAATGCGAATCCATTGACCCTAACACTATTTGATAACCAACTTACTGATGAGATAATAAATAAACCAACGTCATTTCGGCTGAAGAAGAAAGTAAGGAAGCAATATAGGAGTGCAAGGTCCAACACTATTGTAGAACTTAATGAAATCGTCCCACCAGGGCAAGCTTCAGCCTGGAAATCACCATTTGAAAATTGTAACAGGTTCAATCATATGGTAAATGGACGTGTTTACAGTGCATACGTAACATAACGGTATCCTGTGTTCCTTGCATATATTATATCCGAGCAATAAAATACCTGTGATTATGAAAAAAAGAAATTATCCCACCAGATAAACTAGGTTCTTATTATGAGAGATAGCAGATTTTCTCCATTTTCTGGCAAATCTAATAACGACTGTACTAGCCTCCTCCGCTATAAACTTGCGTACATCGGATGATCATGTAGTCTATTCCTTACGGATTTAGTTGTTAGTTCGTATCAGATATGCTTGTGAGAAGCAGCATCGCTGCAGTGGAGAGCTGCGGTGTCCAGAGGGAAACACCTCAATGTTGTCACAACCCTATACAGTAGTAAGTAGTACGTGACTTCGCCCTCATAACTTGAGTTAGCTGTTTTAGCTCATCGTTCCTCCAATCGACCTGCCTGGCATGGGCACAACTAACAGAAAAGATATTCCAGCGAATACATAGTCGAGTTGAATGTCATCAAGTAGACAGGCAAGCCCAACCACACGCAATGGGTAAACAGTACGTCGAAGATTCACAATTATATCACAATTAACCCCCTCTATTGTCAAGGCCAATTATCACATGATTTTCAGGCGAACCACAGGACGAAATGAGCAGTTCCGTTCAATCCACGTGGGGTGCAACCACACAGTGATAGGCTACCTGAGACCCATCCCCCTACCTGGCGGGCTCAAACCTGAAAACATCAATCCAAATCTAATTCAAGGCAGAAAGAATCACAAATATGACAGGGGGGTAATGATTTCGATGCATTTTTACCAAAAAAATTCTTCGTTATAATATAAATAAATTAATAAAAACAACCAGAAAACTTAGTTATCAATTTACAACAAATGTACACAGATAATTTATAAAATGATAAGTAGCCAATACAAAACAACACTGTAAAACCTGAAAAACTGATCCCACCTTAATCGCATGATTCACTAGTTGTAATAAACACATTAGTGGACGGGAGGGGAGGGAGGGAGCGATCCATCGACACTTTGTTTTACTTGAAGTTGGAAATGCAAATTCAAGGAAGGAGATGATGATTACTTGAGGCGGAAATAGGCCGAAGCGCTAGTGATTGTTGATGATACTCTTTCATCATTGAATAAAATCAATGGGACCTGAAACATTTGGTGATGGTAATTTGGTGATTGGAAAACTGTTTGCGTAGTTTAAACAGGGCAATTGGTCCAATTTTGTAGTTGATATGTTCGTCAGCTAATTGAGATGGAGGCAAGAATTTGAATTTACGAATCTATAAAATATTAGAGAAAGAGGGGAAAACATGATTATGAATATCAATTTATCAACTGTAAATCTTGAAAACAATGGATCTTGTATGTTGACAAGCTAGGGAGGCAGGAATGCGCAATCTCCCAATCATGTTTGTATTGTGCGCTTGTGGTATTAGAAGACTGAATTTCATTAGTTGTATTTCATATATATTAAGTCAACAAAGTGAGTTAGTTTTCCTAGCTGGAAGGTCAACAACTCCTGAAAAAGTCAGATGATGCAGGCTGTCGCTCCTCTAGAAGCATGTTATCGACAAAGTGAATAGGAATGGAGAAGTGGAATTACAACGGAACACCAAATTGACACTTCGACCGAATTCTCTCTCGCTCGCTAGGTAGTGTATATGGTAGAAAGCTTGTACAAGATTAGTGTACTTCCTTGGTAAAACCTTTGATGACAGACAGTGGTACGGAACTTAACGATCCACAGAGTGAAACGCTTCCGTAAGGTTGAATGTCTGTGCTCTAAAACCTGAAACAGTTTGAAATCTGGTCTATACAGCCATGTCCTATGATATGATACTACAGTAATTTTCTCGAGCTCTAGTTGCGCGTCGAATATTATTTAAAGTCACAGTTTACACATATATTAGTTCCACTGATTGATTGTGATTGTTACCGTAAGACTTAGTCTTTCCTTGTAGACCGTGACATATCATGTGATGAGACCACTCAGATGGGAGGATTACGCCAGTAATAGTTCTACCAACATCTCAGTTCAACTCATGCTAAAACTCAACCACCATCCTTAAAAGTAGCACGGTAACCGTCACGACTGGTGCTGGGCTGCTAGTCTATGTATATGCATGTAAGTCATCATCCTATGTGCTTACTAAGTGCGGCTCATCTTTTCTCTTGTTCTTCTTCTTCCAGATAATCTCATACGTGCCCTCACATCCCCCAGACACAAAGGTACCTTTGGGCTAAAACGCAACCAGCAAAGGCTGAAGTGACACATCAATGTTATAATTATGATCATAAAAAGTATGTTCGGTGGAAAGTCTATCAACTTTAAATACAGTAGGATTTAGTAGTAGTAGAGTTTCTTTATTGAAACTTTACGTATGGAAATGATATCTACAAAATCAAGAGAATAATAAAAACACGGCAGTGATATCCTGCCTCCCTCCCTACGTCATAGGTCTGAATGTTATGTTGAGAGAGCTTCAATTGTCAACGTAGTTATTATTATTACCATTGATTTTGTAGATAATCAATTTCAATACTGTAAAGTTTCAAATAAAGCAACTCTACTACTACTAAATCCTACTGTATTTAAAGTGATGAAGACATTTCACACGGAACATACATATTTTATGATCATAATTATAAGCATTGAATTTGTAACTTCAGCCTTTGCTTGGTTTGCGTTTAGCCCAAAGGTACCTTGTGTGCTAGGGGGGATGTGAGGAGCAGCGTATGAGATTATCTGGAAGAAGAAAGAACAAGAGAAAAAGATGAGCCGACGACTTAGTAAGCACATAGGATGATGCACTTACATGCAATATACAAATACATAGACAGCAACCAGCAACCAGGTCGTGACGGATTAACCGTGCTACTTTTAAGGATGGTGGTTGAGTTTTAGCAGTGAGTTGAACTGAGATGTTAGGTAGAACCTAGTAACTGGGCGTAATCCTCCCATCTGAGTGGTCTCAATCACTGATTATTGTCACGGGCTACAAGGAAAGACAGAAGTCTTACGGTAACAATCACAAATCAATCAGTGTAACTAATATAGTGTGTAAACTGTGAGCTTTAATAATATTTCGACGCGCAACTAGAGCTCGAGAAAATTAGTGTAGTATCATATCTGGACATGGCTGTATAGACCAGATATTCAAACTGTGTCAGGTTTTAGAGCACAGACACATTCAACCTTACGGAAGCGTTTCACTCTGTGGATCGTTAAGTTCCGTACCACTGTCTGTCATCAAAAGGTTTACCAAGGAAGTACACTAATCTTGTACAAGCTTTCTACTCATACACTACTAGTCGAGCGAGAGAGAATTCGTGTCGAAGTGTCAATTTGGTGTTCGTTTGTAATGTCCACTTTCTCCATTCCTATTCAACTTTGTCGATAACATGCTTCTAGAGACGACAGCTGCATCATCTGACTTTTCAGGAGTTGTTGACCTTCCAGCAGGAAACTAACTCACTTGTTGACTTAAATATATGAAGACACTAATGAAATTCAGTCTTCTAATAACAACAAGCCACAATACAAACATGTTGGAGATGCGATTCTCCTCCCTCTTGTCAAAATACAAGATCCATTGTTTCAGATTTACAGTTGAAAATGATTTCATAAACATTTTTCCCCTCTTTCTTCTAATATTTTATAGATCGTAATTCAAATTCTTGCAATCCATCTCAATTAGCTGACAACATATCAACTACAAAATTGACCAATTGCACTGTTAAACTACGCAACAGTTCCAATCACAAATTACCATCAACCAAATGTTCAGGTCCCATTGATTTTATCAATGATGAAGAGTATCATCAACAATCACTAGCGTCGGCCTATTTCCCTCAAGTATCATCTCCTCCTTGAATTTGCATTCCAACTTCAAGTAAAACAAGTGTCGATGATCTCTCCCTCCCTCCCTCCCTCCACTATGTGTTTATTACAACTAGTGAATCTGCGATGGATCAGTTCGGTTACAGTGTTGTTTTGTATTGCTACTTATCATTTTATAATACTGTGTACATTTGTTGTAAATAATAACTAAGTTTTCTGTTTGTTTTTATTATTTATTTATATATAAAGAAGAATTTTTGTAAAAATGCATCAAATCATTCCCCCCTGTAATATTTGTTTTCTGCTTGAATTAGATTGGATTGATGTTTTCAGGGTTTGAGCCACCAAGGTAGGGGGAGGGTATCAGGTACCTACCTGTGTGGTTGCACCCACGTGATTGAACGGAACTGCTCATTTCGTCCTTGGTTCGCCTGAAAATCAATGTGAAATTGGCCTTGACAATAGAGGGTTAATTGATATAATTGTGAATCTCGACTGTAGCTGTTACCTTGACGTGGTGGTTGGGCTTGCCTGTCTTGATGACTCAACTCGAGCTATGTATTCGCTGGAATATATGTTCCTGTAGGTTGTGCCATGCCAGGCAGGTCGATTGGAGAACGATGAGACTAAAAACAGCTACTCAAGTTCTGAGGGCGAAGTCGTACTACTGACTACTGTAGAGAGGTGTGACAACAGTGAGGTGTTTCCCTCGGACAACCAGCATCTGCAGCGATGCTGCCTTCTCACAAGCTATCTGATAACTAACTAACTAACTAAATCCGAAGGAGATAGACATACATGATCATCAGACTGTAACAGCAAGTTTACGAGGAAGCCAGTCAGTCGTTAATAGAATTTGCAGAAAAATGAGAAAATCTGCTAATCTCTCATAAATAAAGAACCTAGTTATCTGGTGGGATAATTTCTTTTTTTCATAATCACAGGTATTTTATTGCTCGGATATAATTAATATGCAAGGAACACAGGATACCGTTAGTGTTACGTATGCACGTAAACACGTCCATTTCATATGCTTGAACTGTTACAAGTTTCAAAATGGTGATTCCAAGCTGAAGCTTGCCCTGTGGGACGATTCATTAAGTTCTACAAAGTGTGACCTATGCACCTCCTATATTGCTTCTTAATTTCTTCTTCAGCCGAAGGACGTTGGTTTATTATCTCATTCAGTAAGTTGTTATCAATAGTGTTAGGTCAATGGATTCGCAGTATCTTGTGTAAATAAACGTCTATCAACACCTGTATCTTTCGAATGATGGCTTTCATAATTCGCCATATTTTCACTCTATAAAACAGAACTGTCTTGACGTGAATGAGTATTGAAACTGTGATTTTAGTGTTTGTTTACAGATGAATTTTTGAGTTTCAAATGCTGTTTAATAGTAGAAATACCTCTTCACATCTGCATTAGATCCTCCTTGTCTATCGATAATGATAATGCTGTACGACTATTAAGTCTGGTTGAAGCCTTTCCCGGATCAATGGTGTTCCCAAACCCAGGTAAACCAGGAGGATTTGGCAAGAGATTAGTACGACTATCCCGTAGAAAATAAACTCGTTAGAAAACACCAGAAAAAAATCGTTAGAACGAATATCTTAATAGTAACATTGTGATTCATAACTTTCGGCGGTACATATTTGAGTAACATGGAGAGTGTCAGTTCCTTTATATAGTTGGGGGTGCTCAACTGATGAATAGTGACTGTTACGCCTGCACGTAAACATGTCAACTTGATATACTTGAACTATTACGAGTTTACCTAGTCAAGAAACGAGAGCGAGGATCCGGTGACACGACATGCTACTCAAATCCGATTATCCCAACCCCCATATTGCGTGAAAATAAGAAGACATGATATGAAGTAGAACCTGTATTCTACAAGCATCCAGAAAATACGACGTCCGAGTTCAGAAGAGAATTAGGATCTCGGACTAAGGATCCTGCACCGGGTGCTGGTCGTCGTCACAAAGCGTTACAGATAATGCGTATTTATACATTTTGGTTGAATGAGAAACAGCATCGAAGTCTGTGACATTGACAGTTAAGACGACCAATAGGAAGTAACATTCGAAGTGACATTGATAGTCAGGACAACCAATAAGGAACAAGATCGGAGTATGAGACTCATCAGCAGTTCGAATCTTGAAAAATCGAACCTAGGACCTACGGTTTCGCGAAAGAACGCTTAGTCCCCAAATATTGTTAATGTCTAACTTCAGTTAATTCACAATATTATGTTGTATTCGGTGGGTAAACTGCATTATCCTCTACAAGATTGAACTCAACTGATCGTAGCTACTTAATAGAACTTCGAGAAAGTTCTCATGAAGCCTATCGATATGATGAGATAAAAAAGGAAAACATTCTCGATGTTTAATGTAGACAAAGAGAAAAACAAATACTAGGAAAGGACTGAAACTTAAGAGTCTGTGAACAGTTGTTTAGTACTTGTACGGTAATTCTACAGTCCCAATGAGAAGTAGTGAGTACTGGAGCAGTGCTATGCTAGATTTGAAGTATATGCTCGCCAGTAGCATTTGAAGATGGTTGACCAATATTACAGATTTACTGAAGTTATGAATGTAAACATTTGTGATGTTGACACATTTGCATGCTGATTAATGAATCATCAAGGTTTCAGTATCGATCCATACAATAAGTCATCCATAAGTATAGCTTCAGTGTTCCATGGTGGGATGGGAAATGTTTTACAAGTGCTTTGTAGTATTAATATTTCTTTCTTCAAGTTCAATCTAAGATATGAACTACAAAATTCAACCATGTCACATTTCATTCATAAGAGTTTTAAATAAATTGGCCAATAAAATGTAAGACTACTAATAAGTAATATAAATAGGTAACATGGAATAAATATGATTGTTAACTATACAGAACGTTACCTACTTTCTTATGTCTGTAACCCTAGAATTTTTCTGGTTAACGATTTTCTAGCGAGTTGTTTTTCCTTGGAATAGGGTCACTAACCCCATGGCCAACCCTCCTCCTCTATGCGAACTTAGGACCGGCGGAAACCTCAGATGAGCTCCTGGCGGAATTCTCAAAGCCAAAAGAATAGAGGGAGACCAGAGTACACATTACATCGAGAACTAGAGACAGACATGAGAAGAAAAGTCAACGATTGGATAGAAAAGGAAAGGAAGGCTCAGGACAGAGTAAGCTGAAGAATTCTGGTCGGCTGTGCGTTTCGTCCTATTTTGGACTCATCAGCTGCATACTCCCTTTTATTAAAGTTGATGATTACCGTGGGACTCAAAACCAGTACCCTTTGGTTCACACTGTAGTACCTCCACATATATTCGAGTTCGCTTACATCTAACTTGGTTAAGCCCTTTCGATTAATTTATTTAACCAAGCCATTTGTATTGCAACAATTTATATGTACCATTCGTTCTTATTATTGTCTGGTTCGTATGAGCTCACATTGAAAAGACTGAGGCGGGCGAGGTAGATTGTATCTAGCAAATTTACACTCTTACTCGATTAAAAACGAAAACATTACATTGAACACTCTATTTGCACACCACCTTTGAGTCGTGACATCCAACGCTCCAGCCTTCTTCCGTTCCTGCTGTTGCTTCTTTTCCTTCCTGTTGGTACTCCATTAACTTCTTGCTTTTGATCCATTTGCTTTCCGTTTTCCTCTTCTGACCGTGAGACTTCTTCTTTCACGTCCCTTCTTATACTACTAATATCGTTCGTATAAGTAGCACAAACCATAACATGACGTGTCCCATTTGTCATTTGACCTTGTCAACTATTCGTTGCTTTTATTCATGTGTGCCTATTTCGCTTGTCGCATGTCTGTCTTATATTTATCTGACTAAATGTTCTTAGTCACGCTCTATCTCTGGGAATCGGCTCATTAGCCTTCTCCACATTGCTTCTCCGCTTCACTTTGTGGTGTGTCCAAAAATTAACGTGTTCATTACAATGAGTTCACCTTCTGATTTAAAACCGTCAGACGCTACTTTGTAACAATTGTCTGGACGAGCTAATTACCGAGCATAAAAACACGCAGTAAATCGACACACTACACACACCTCATTCTGTTATCCAGTTTACTGCTGAGTTCACTTAACTATATGCATCCTAACTAAACCAATCAACACAAATTCATTGTATCCATCTCAACTAACCATATTACACATCATTTCAAATCAATGACAGTTGCGTTCATCATTATCTACTCTATCAACAATAGACATTCGTAATTCGCTTTAACTAATCAATAGAATCAATTCATCCACCACTCACCATCCTCCACTCTCATTTCAATGAGCTAACAGTTCCCATTCACTTATTTCGAATATACAGTAACACTATAATTATCATTTGAGTATACACTGTCAGTGATTACCAATGATCTCAATCAATAACTCGCTAACTAACTATATGATTAGGGTACTACTGTTGTCCTGTTCACTCATAAAAGTTATTGTTAAAATTTCTCTATTCAGAATTCTTCATTAAAAAATGGTTCCTTAGTGGATGGTAAGTAGATATCAGAAACTTTAACTGGAAAATTCCATTAAGTTTCATTTTAGTAGTGAATGTGTATCCCACATTAATGCAAACTGTCTATGTAAATATGTGACACATAACAGATTACTAGTTTCATATTGGAAACTTTTGAAATATAATTTACACTCCTGTAAGAATGACTAGAAATTTTTGATATTATTTAAACCATCCAACTAATATGAGAGAATATAAGTGTACTACTGATGAGTAACATACTAAGACGAAACAGCCGTCTTCCAGTACTCCGAGTTCTCCAATAATGGTCTAACAATGAACGATTAGTGATTTCAGAGAATATATCTGTCTGGCATTGAATGTTTTTAATTTAAACTCTTAAATAACAATGTTTGCGAAGAGTTTTATCAAGGAGTTTTGATAAATAGATGAGATGTGACTAGCATTGGAATCCAGGAAGGGGGTTTTGTCTACATCCGATTTGTCAGCTGGATGTGCATATATATATATATATATATATATATATATATATATATATATATATATATCACAGTTGATAATTACTTCGGGGACTCAAACCCAGTACAGTTTCGTTCAAACCTCATTGTGTTATTCAGTCAGCTACTCAGTCCACTTAACCATTTGCTTCCTATCAGTTGACCATATCCGATCAACACAATGTCAACACATCCAACTGAACTAACGAT